CAATTTCCTTATTTCTTTATTTTAGAATTACTTTCATGTACTTTTAGTACTAATTTTATTCCTAATGTTCCAGTTGTGTTTAATGTGAAATTTATTCATGGAGCGGTAGAGATAGCTCTTAAGCATAGAGGCTCTATAAAATAAGGCAATCTTCTTTGAGACTGTGACAATTTAGAGCACTAAAGTGATTGTGTGCACTGGTTTGTTTCGGGTCGGGATTATCCATCGGAACAGGAGGCATTTTTTGTGCGTGAGGTGAAAGTTGATTCAATGAAAGCTGGTTGACTAAAATAGTCTTTCAAGCACTCAGTAAACTCAGTAATGGTTGCAACAATACATTACAGAAAGACAACAACTTCTATTCGGTCCAGCTGCCCAGGACGTTTTTTTATCCGATGCAGGAAACAGAAATAGAAATAGAGCCCAAAAGTGGCCTTTTATATGGTTCATTTAGTGATTCTGAACTATAGTGGATATTAAATGGCGACATTCGATACGGACGTGTGTAAGCTTAAATGCCACCGCATCCAGAGATAAGAACGAATGCAAAATGCGAAGGTTAAGGACCATTTTAAAATGATGTCTAGTCTTGGTGATTTTTTATCTATTTTTTTTTTTATTTTTCTATTTTTTATGTTTTGGAATGGGATGTAAGTCAGGAGAGAAATAAAACAGGAACAAATCAATTCCACCAAATGAATCAGGCTGACAGGAGAGGCTTATTTTAATGCCCATGTATTAGTTACTGTTATGTACACTACAGACACTACCCCATGTTGTCAACTTTACGTGCTTTTTTTATTTCCCATCATGCCTTTGAACTTTACAAGCAGATAAGGTGATAAACGATGACGCATACATGACAGTTACTAGCTTAAGTGTTTCAATTAAATCTTCTTTACAAGGTCGTTTTCCCACTATTTAATGCAAACCTATAACTGCACCTTAATAATCATCTTCAAAATCTAAGAAGTTTATGAGACCTGCCATTACACACTGTACTGTGGACACTGCACAAACCTGAAAGACAATGAAGTAAAAGTGTTAAAACTGTCATGAAAAACATAACTTCGCCAAATCCCCCTGGCTGTAAAGCTTTTCCTCAGAGCATACTTCAATTCTTTATTTTGATACCGCATTTTTCAAAACAAATATGACAAACAAAGGCTTTTTTATACCAGGAAGAATCGGTTAAACGACTGTGGCAGACCACTGGCGGACTGCTGTGGCAGCATTTGCACACTTCTGTAACAGAAGTTACCCAACCCAGTGGCTCTTGAGTTTCCTTGGCGAAATTTCAGGCTCCCACGCTCTCACGGAAGTTCTCTTGTCAGTTTTTGGGGCGTTGCCGCCCGAGGAAAAAAAATAGCCACCCTAAGAAAATAAAGATGTATATTTTCCCATACTAACACTAGAGGAAATGTTTATGTCGCTTTTACCATGATTGTTTTGGGAGATTCCGAGGACCTTTGCGTAGTGGTCTCCGCGCGGTCACTTTTGTTTTAGGGGTTGAGCATAAAAAACGATTTTTACCCGCTCTGCTGAGGATTTTATCGACTCCCTGACAAGCTAGACGATCAATGTTTACCGGGTCTATATCAGAGAAAATGGTGTTCACGTTTTAATAGGAAAGGCAAAACTAAAAAAAACTGGACGAACAAAATACAACGGTAACCCAGCCCAAAGCAGACAGCTTGGACAGACCTGGACAGTATGAGAGAATGCCTGCCTGTTGAAATATTTTTCCAAATGAAAGCAGATTAGGGAGGTCTACTGAGGGCCAAAAACGCATCTCATCAGGTTCACAATTTTCTTTTCTTCTCGAGGTTTCCAACGTAGAATAAGTTGGTAATATTATGCCATAACAAGACGTTTTCTAAGCGCGTTTTGCTAAGTCGGCACGTATCAAGCGTCATTACCGAAAAAAAAAATCGAAATGACTCGCCCATTTGTAATTTTAAAACTGATTGAGGTCAGTAAAAAGTAGTTGAAAATCAATTACTAATGGGAGTCGTTAAGTTATTTTCCGCTCTCCGAAAGTACAATGATTGCTTTTCGGCAAAAATCTTAAAGATACTGAAATCGATGAAATGCGGGATATTTTGTTCGCTGTAATTGCTTTACAAATCGACATTTTCCTGCCTTTTGTCTGACCTTTTAGCTTCTCATCAATGCACCACCCCTGCATTGGTGGCTTAAGAAAACATGCGGTTTCAAGCGATACGGGGACATAACAAAAAATACCTCCATTTGCCACAAAGCACAGATGCACAGAAGACGAACGTTCACTGATGTTTATATGTTCCGATCGATAAAGGAACAGTTTTCTTAGGAAAAACTCGACGAAACTGTGAGTAATAAGATACAGATCATAAATAACTAAGATTTGTAAAACCAATATTGTGTTTATGATCATTCAGTCAATGTTTTCACTCGTGGCCTTGGCCAAGTTGTTAAACGTCTTGGGATTTTTCAGTGATTTTGTTTCGCTTACTAACGCTAATCTTTTAATTATTCTTAAAACGTTCAGTCTACAGTTATATTGGGACAATTGTTAAACGTACGAACGTAACTGCGGCACAACTTTTGAAAACGTGGAGGTATCTCTGGTTGACACCCTCGGGTATTCCATTTGGCTACGTCCCTAGATAGTCACCACTAGGTGTCCCCATTTAGTAGAGGGGTGGTCAACCTCGGTTAGCTCAAGTTTTGATTGATTGATTAATTGATTAATTGATTGATTGATTGATGTACCAGAAAAAAATTGTTCTATTCAGTTCAGTGAGTGCGTTAGTCCCAGAAATAATAATTACAAATTAATGGTTGTAAATTAAACAAATCGTCTCTTGTTCAAAATGATTAAAGCTTATCGCATATCATTGTGCAGGATGATTTGCCAAGTTTAAACTTTTTTCTCTTAGCTTCTAGGTTTCTGTTGGCAAAATGAGCTTAATACCGCTGACCTTATGACCCGTGGCCTTACCATGGTAACGGAAATTGGTTCGACGCTTGATGTCATCACCCTGGTGCAGCTGCCTTGGCAGGAAAGATTCCGGGTAGGGATTTTTGTCTTTGTATTTAAGGTGGCTCAAAACTGTTTCCAGCAGTTAGATTTTGATAATTCATTACAACCGCTTTTTATCACCTGATGCTACAATCATGGTACCACAAAATTGTCCAATCATTGGTGAACACGTTGTTATCATTTTCGTGACACAATAGGTTACCATAGCATCAGTATGACCTGCTAAAACTACCCTTAATTACAGCTTTAGGGGCTTATAATTCAAAACGGCACACTGATTTTTTTTATATATATTATCAAATTTTAATAAGCACGATAAGACGCAATTTTTGGCAAAGTTTTGAAAATTCTGTACATAGGGTTCAGAGCAAACTTAAAGTTGTGAAAATTAGATGATATTAGCTCATGCAATGCACGAATTAAATTTTGGCGTACACCTAGTTAATTCTAATCATACCAGGAAGTATTTCAATCAAATGTTTTTCCCTTTCCAGATCTGCCTTGGTCTTGCCAGATTATTGAGTTATTTAGCCCATTCTCCAATCGGTTCGCTCCTTATCCGGGATTTCAAGCTGTCACAGTTCATTCTGGTCGGCGGAGAGATCAAGCTGACAGACTTTGACGATGTTGACAATGAAGAACCCGAATGTTTGTCAAACAAGGACTGTGTTGTGAGAGGCGCTAAAGGAAATAAAACACTGCAATGTGATCGAGGACGCTGCCAAGGTGTAATCGCCGCCAAAAATTTAGATTACGCGAGTCGTGGTGTAATGAGTCATATTCTCATACCAGGAGCTCCGGAGAAATTACAAAGTTACTTGAACGAGATTAAATACAATCTTCAGACATTGACTTGGAGCAGTGACGAACTTGCGTGGCATTTGGAAAGAGTGCTCGATCTTCTACGTTTAGGAAAACATTTAGGTATAAAATAGATTACAAATTGTAATCCATCAAATATTTTCGCTCGAACGCGATTGGTCTAAACGCGTCACGTGACTAAATGTGCCTCAGCTAAAACTAGGGAATATTTGAGTGATATTCCTCAATTCGCACACTGCGAAAAGTATTATATTTGAAGGATAACAAACAAACCAGTTGCCATTTGACTTAAAAAATATGCTCGGATCGTCCTTGGACATAATCTGTACGCTCTCGGAAAACTGTGAGATTCTCGGAACAAATAATGTCCGCGGACAAATATCCGAGCATATTTTCACGCGAAATGGAGGCTTCTGTTTACTGCGACATAATTCGAAGGGAAAATTATAAATATATCCCATATAACCTCCTAACCCAACCTGGTGATGTTCATTTAACGGCTTTAGAAATAGTGTTGGGTTTCATATCGTTATATATCTTAGTTTTACTATTATATATTTCTTGCACGCATCTAAAATTTTCAAAAGTAACATCCCTTCCAAATCATGATAAACCCAAAAATACTTTTGAAACGCCAAATTGCTTCGAATAAAGAACTTCCCTTCCCTCAACCCAGCTACCCCCACTCTCTAATATGCCCTCCTTATTAAACGCCTTTTAAGCAAGTGTAAAGACACTGTAGGGGGGAAGCTTATTTAAGCCACTGCTTATTATGAAAGTTGACATTTCTTTATTTTCCAAGATGTGCCCCCATCAAGCCTGTCTTCTGAGATATTCGTAATTGAAAGGCTATTAAATAACAGTTCGGACATTTACAACTCACTAAGCCTACGCACATCATAGGTATAAAAAATGCCCATTGATTTGGTATTCTCATGCGTCTGTCCTGTTATTGATCATGAATTTCGTCACAACATCGTCAAAGTAGCTAGCCGTGGATCCGCAGACTACAGTTATTGTAAAAAGTTTAATTGTTCTCATCCTTTTGAAGCCTTACATTTTAAACTACTTGTAATGAAGTATTATCAGGTCCTGAAAAATTTCCCTTTTAATTTTTACGCTTTTTCTCTTATCTCGATCTCATTAGAACCGTACACAAGTCCGACAAATTTCTACAAGGAACTTCCTAACGCCGACTTCCCAAAGTTACATGATTACGACTGTTTAAATTCGCGTTTGTTCGGCGCATGTCAGCTGGCAGTTTATGACGTCACAGAGGCAAAATACAAGTGCGACATGGACGATCAATGCAAAGCTTTTGTGACTACGGCGGAAACATTATGGACAGGTGAGTGGAGAGAGTCTCTATGATGAACTAGCTGTGCTCCTTGCAAGGCTTGAGTTGGTTATTTTCACGTTATATGGGTAGAGACTCTTCACTCCTGTGGCCTGGAATTGAGTTCGCCTTCACTCCAAGGGATTTAACAACCACGTTCCCAGGCTCCCTCCTTTGCCTCCCACGACGAGGGAAACAAAAGAAAGAGAGACTAGGATCGAGGCTGGGGATTTAACAAGGTTCTGTAGGATTTTTTCTGGGTTTTCGATCAGTTTCCCCTCTTCGAAAAGTAAATACTAATTTTCAGAACATGTTTAATTGATAATTTGTCTAATTGAAAAGAAAAGCAAAACAAAACAAAAAAAGGAACGTCTCGAAAAATAAGGGTGGCATAAATTTCTTTAAAAAGGCTAGTCTGCTAGACTGAGTGGCGTAAGAAACTTGGATTTATGGAGCGCATTAATTTCAGTAATTTTTAACATTTTGGTTGAAATTACTGTTCCCGTTTAATCGAAAAATAATTTTGGAGCATTATTTTGAGCATAGATTTCATCTTTTTATTAATTCTTCACCCATTAGTGCATTCTTTAAAAAGTGCCGCTCGATCGATCGGCTTTGTGTTGCACTTCTTTTGGTTTACAAGTGTCGTTTGTTAAACA